TCGTCTCTTGCTCGTTGTCTGCAGCGTTTGCTGGGGTTTTCATCCAGCGGACGGGACGGTATCGAGTGCTCATGTACGCGGCGCAGGTGCTGCTGATTCTCGGCACAGGTCTACTCATCAACCTCGAGTTCGACAAGAACCTGGCGAAGCTGTTCACTTTTCAGATCCTCACCGGCGTCGGCGTGGGGCTGAACATTGAAGCGCCGGTGCTGGCGGCGCAGGCTGCGACTACGGTGCGTGATACGGCTGCTGTGGTGGCTACAATGGGTTTCCTCAGGTCTATTGCGACGGCCATTTCTGTGGTTGTTGGTGGGGTTGTCTTCCAGAACCAGATGAAAGCTGAGAACCTGTATCTGGTCGAGATGATTGGTGGCGAGCTCGCTGGTCAGTTTGATGGAGAGAATGCGTCAGCTCATGTCGAGGGCATCGCTCTGCTTGCGGCTGAGCAGCAGGTTCCTGTGCGCCAAGCGTATTTCAGAGCGCTTAAGACAGTCTGGATTATGGTAAGTAAGCTCTCAACGTTGAAACATTGCTATGTGAAATATTCTTGAGGAACCACCGTTCAGTTTGCGTACATTTGCTAATAAGAACACCCAGTACGTCGCATTTTCCGGCCTGGCGTTGGTGCTCAACCTCTTCGTATCAGAGCACCATCTGAGCAATGAGAGGAAGGCGGCTGTTCTCGGCGTCGATCGAGGAACCCCAGGCTTATTAGATCAGCCAGCCCAAGTAGAGGAGATACCGCTCGAGACGACTTGCAGACAGCACGACAATGTCCATCAACTCAGAAATCGGGCCACATGAGAAGGAAGTAGAATTCGAGCTCCTCGAGGAGAGTTATTAAAGCAATTAGATTTACAGGTACCAGCCCTGAAAACGCCTCATAGCGTGTGGACTCTATGCCCTGCGCTGTCCTTGAACCCTGGACATGATTTTGATACAAAGAAAACTTGTCGAGCTGTGACCATAACCCCGTTCTAACCTCCCAATTCCCCGCTTTCCTCACACTGAAGGCCGTTATGATGTACAAACTGTTATATGAAATAAATGGCGGTTGTAAGTTTCTTCTTCACGCAGAAGCCATCGATCAACTTTTCAGGAAGCTCCGACTGTAGGAATGCCAGGCATCAAGACTTCCCCGCTAACGAAGACTCTATAAGCTGTCTCTCCGCCAACCCTCTCTCCCAGAACTCGGAACCCTCGGTCAAATTTCGCCGCAGGGTCTTAGCGCTGAGATGCTTCGTGAAGCGGTCCACGGCCAGAATGACTAAGAGGAGAGCCGCCACGGTAGGCAGCGTTGCGCCGCTCCTGAGGTAGGCGAAGATGAACTTCTCGGACCCGGCGCCCGAGGCGATGCCGACGGCGAAGAGGGCGGCGACACCGCGCGTCGCGACGGCGGCTTTGTCAAAGATGTTGAGCGGGCGGTCTTTGTGTCTGGTGATGAGGATGAAGACGGCGAAGAAGGCGACGACGAAGAGGAACGAGGACCAGTAGTAGATGTATACGGTCGAGTAGGCCGGGTGCGCAATCTCGCCAGGGTCCTCGTCGCCGTCTGATGTGACGCCGTTGTAGGACTCGAATAAGACGCCGAGGACGCTCTTGGTGAGGCGTTCGAAGCCGGGGGGCACGAAGAGCGAGTCTGTGCCGGTGATGTTGGCCGGCGCGCAAATGTCGGTCGTGTTACCGATTTTGTAGATTTCTTGGTAGACAAAGGGGATGAGGTTGCGGATTTCGGCGCTGTTTGGCATGTTGAGCTTCTCAAATGCCGTGGCGATGGAAGTTGTGAGGGCTTGCCCGTCTTGGTGCTCGTTTACGCAGGCGTTGCGGACGGAGGAGAAGAAGTCGCTGAAGTAGCTGAGGACCTGCCAGGCGAGGGCGATTTGTTGGGAGCCTTCGACGACGCCGATCATGCCGAGGTGGAAGGGGAAGTGGAGGACGGCCCAGATTTGTTGGCGGACGGTGCCGAATTTGCATTCGGGGGGGTTGTCGAAGTAGAGCATCCAGTTAAACATCTAGGAATAGTTGAGTCAGTTGATCTATAGTTAAAGCATGGTATAAACGAGTGACATACCAAAATAAAAACGATGCAACCGACGACGAGGCATGCATCGAGCCGGAGGCCGGTGTCACCCATCAGGACGCCGACGACCTTTGTGGCACCAATGGCACCTTCACCAATGATGACCAGGGTGAAGAGGCCCATTCTCTCCGTCAAGTGGGTGTGCTTGAAGCTGAGGTTCCTCCAGATGGATGACAAGCCGAGGGTGATGGCGACCTCGATCACAAGGATGATATACCAGACGTAGTAGATACCCAGGCCGTTGCCGGACTCGGGCGAGAAGGCCGGCGTCATGGAGTAAAAGGCCCCACCGGAGAAGATGAAGAGGACAATGGTGAGAGACAGCGGCCAGTTCAAGGCCTTTGTCTTCTTGCGGACAAAGTGGAGGGCGACAGAGTACTGGGCTACGAGCAGCAGGCGGGTAGCGAAGAGGATGTTACACAAGAGTTGGAAGTTCTACATTGCATCGTTGTCAATTAGGGTACTGTATCATGATTTCCGAGGCTTCCGTCTCCGTTTTCAAGACGGAGATACAGTGAAAGTTGAAAGTAGACATACCGCATTGTTGTGCTCTTTCGTACCGGGACTGAATGATGACCCAACGAGAGCGAACCCGACAAATAGACAGAACTGCAGGATCTTGCACATTCGCTCGTACCCCGAGTCGATGGAGAAGCGAACATCGTGCAGCGTAATCTGGAACCATGTGAACCAGATGATGGCGAAGAACCCAAGATAGGCGGCTAAACTGGACAAGTCGGTGATGCTGTGCGTCTGCGTAAATGTCTCGAGGTTGGCGACAAAGAAGAGGTCGGAGAAGAGTTCAATGGTGTTTGCATTGTGCCGGACAAAGAGGCGGATCTCGCCCGTGTCTTCATCAGCTGAGGAGACAGGTGACTCGATCCAGGTGAGAGGCGCGATTTTCTCTTCTTGGAGGTAGTCTAGGCCCCTGGACAGGAAGGATTTTCGTTAGTTTGCTGCATGATGCGGGATGGGGGTTATCGAGAATTGGGTTGTTGGTTTTGGCCGCCCTGTCACTCTCGCTTCCCACTTTCTTTTCGGCAGAGTGCAATAGGTGAGAAGGCGCGTATTGGATACGACGTATGTTGACTTACCAACTTATTGATGAGCTGTCAGAGTCGACCCGACGGACCTGGCTGCTCGGGAGCTTCGCCATTGTGTGGGCGGCGAACAATGATGGCGTAGGACGCCTTGTGAAGGTGTGTTTGGATCGCCTTGGACGCCTTCTTTCTCTCTCTTGCGAGTCCGAGGGATGGATTAGATGTTGGATTGATGTGTAAGAATGCGAAAGGGAGGGGAGGGGAACAAAGAGTGGTTAACATGGTCTGGAATCACCGGAGAAGAAGGGGCCCAAGGGGGTGGAGGGGGGTCGTCAACGGCCAACCGGCATTGGCAGCACGTCAATCAAGCCTTCAGCCCTGTGGACTTTGTGGTTCCGTTTGTCGTTCCCCGAAGATCCGATCCAGTTTTTTGCAACTGTTTAATCATGAATGGTTCTGTCCGTGGTGGAGATCTTGCACCGATACGTGTATCACAGCCCCAGGTCATACACGTATTGGGGATGACCAAACCGCACTAGCGAGTCATCTTCAGTGCCAATTGCCGTTTCTTGAATGGGAACCACTAGATATTGGCTGTGTTTGGTATTTTAAGGTTCTGTCCTTACTTAGCGGTATCCACAAGTGCTGCAAGCTTCGCTCTCGGTCTCGGTCTCGCCCCATTCAGGGGTCGTTGGAGCAAGCTTCGAGTGGTACATAGGGAAAGGCTTGGTATAACATTAGATGCTTCCTCTCGATTTCTTAGCTACCAGCGTATAGACTTTGGCCCCCAGAATTGTTGACAACGACTAGGGACGGATACGAACTCGACGATCCAACTTCGGGACGACATCACGGCGAATAATTACAAAAACGGATTCTTGCACGCATCGGCAGCAATATGTGAAGTCTCGGGAATTTGAACGTTAAGAGGGAATTGCATTTGCGGAAAAACCATTCACAACGAAAAATTGCCCAGAGCCTCTTGTAACCAACCCGTGGTTGACCTCTCCAATAGGCCGCGCAATTACAAAGCGCAAAAGATTATAGAGTTCTCAAGCCGCCATTAATACTCTCAGTAAATAATACCCCCAGATTTGGTATGAGCCAATTCGACTCAACTTGCTACACCCTGATACAAGACGCCTTCTGTTATGGGGTCAAATATAAATCACAAGTACTCTACCATATCTCCACGCTCGGATTTATTTTCTCATATCATTCTTGCCAATGAGATTTCTTAGGTAAGACAGGAGTAAAAATTCCCACTTGTACGTAGACATAGAAGCAAAGCGTCAATCTGACCAAGGTACAACGTAACGGGCTAGCTGTCGTAGGAGATTTCAACCTGTATCAGTGCGTACCACCAAGCTGCAAATTAGAAACTGGTGACTACTTCCCAAGGCGACATCTAGCATCGGTCATGCTATTTGATATACGGATTGGCCGCGTCGGTGCTATAGCCACGTGAGTTACCTTGGTTTTCTGCTCAACGAGCACGTGGAATACCCCTCTCTACGTTTGTGCTGAAAGTTGGGCGCTAATCGGCTCACATAGTAGTTCTAAATGCACATCCAGCTTACTGAATGGTCCAATATTGCTAAGCTGTGTAACTCTCGGTGTCTCGAGGTCGAGACCAAGATAATGTGGCCGCCGCCTCGTTTTTGCTGACATTATGCATGTGCTCTATACTCTCACCAGTCAAACGAGGCTTCTTTGCGTCGCCACATCACATTGCGCGCATGAGACGCAATAAAGGACCTGCAAAAGCCCAACACGAGAATTCGTGCAGCTGTGGCTGCATGCTAGAAAGCTGAGGCGGAAAACATTTTACGCAAATCTACCATGTAAACCTCGGCCTTGCTGGCGAAATCGCTTCGACCATGAAGATGTTGTTGTTTGGAACAGGAGTCTCCATTTCTACTTCTTTCGCTTCGTCCTCCTACTGTGTTTCGGCGGATTCGCTCTTCAACGTTGTTCTCCTCAACCGCCGGCATAAACCCTTGGGAAAGGTGGGAAAGGCTAGACCAAAAAGGTGGAACAGTAGAACCTTCCTGAAAAAAGGGAAAACGACAACGAGATTCCCAGCGCTAGTATACATGGCAGACAGAGACATCGAAGAGGAGGGCGAGTCTCCTCGAGCTCGGGCTTCGTGTGCTAAGTCACAATCTCCAACGGAGCCTTCATCGAAACCGATGGACTTGGTACATGCACGAAGCGATAAGCCAGCAGCTGAAGCTGCCAGTGAAGAACCATCCGTTCCCTCACAGCCCGTGTTACCGCCCAAGGCCGGGGTGACGGGTAATGAGTCCCAAGAGGGTATGCCGCAGAGAATCTATGAGGCCTACTCAAATAGTATCTTATACAAGGAGCGCAACCATGCCATTTTCAACATAGCGACATTACAACTATTGCACCTGGTGTATCTACGACAAGACATTGGAAAGCGCGGATTTGGAATCTTCTCATCCACCCCAGACAATACTGAGAAATCATTCCGAGCGTTGGCACCAATAGAATACCTTCGAGCCTCAAATTGAACCCCGGCTTCAAGACTTACAGTATTAGATGGTACGCTCGACCGCCCTATCGCACTGATTACTTTGGTCGAAGAATTTTAATATTCATGGGTGAGGTACCGTTAGATTTCGACAACCAATCCTTTGCTGTATCACTATCTTTTCCGTCAGGGAGAGCCTATAGACCGGAGGATCTCAAGTCCGGTCCATCGTTTATGTACACTTTCAGATGTGGTAATTCTCCACCAGTGCGATTACTCTGGTAGCCTGGCTCAATTTTCGCAAGGCGTAGAAAGTCGCTTTGTCTGTTTGTTCAGGGGCAGGGGTTGGGCACTTGGTTACACAGCTCAGTTGGGGTGGCGGACTCACAATAGCAGCTTGAACTGAACATGCCGTGCCCGGTTTCTTTGTTGGGCGTTTCTTCAGATAAAGTCGAAGAATCCTCAATCTTGATTTCAATCCTAGATCCGAGAAATACCGCGGTCTCGACAGACGGAGTGTTCGAATTCCAGGTTAGTGTGCGTTACAGCCAGGGCCTTTCGTGACGACAACTTATGATTGAACCAGCATGAAAACGTCCACAGCACTTGTTACCGGATCTCAAACAGATATCAAGGGAAATCTCATTGAATCCTATGAAAGCAATGTTACTAATGTCGACGTCAACGTTGTTGCGTCTCTTGTCCCTTTTCAACAACAAAACGTCGACGTCGAGCTCCATCTAACGAACCAGAAGCTGCGAGCTGGCCAAAATGCAAAGTTCCCACAGACTAAGCGATTGAGAATGATAGGTTAAATTCCCGACTGACAACCCGTATCTTGAGTCTTGCTTGCTCATTTAGAGATTGTGTCCATTCAAGCTCTTCCAAAGGGATTCTCGATTCACTCAGCTCAGACGTTTGGTAACAGTGCGTGGACTATTACAGGCAAGATTGTTGCCCGTTCCTCGAGCTCTGAGAAAGCCTTTTTCGTCAAGACCGCATACGGAGAACCGGCAGAGTCATGCTTCTCGGCTAGTTCGAGTCATTCAATTCTATTTATCAACTGATGCCCGACTTTATCCCGGAGCCTTTTGGGTATGGAAAGTATCAGAACGCAGCTACGCCCACGTACTTCTACATGTCCAGATTTGTTGATTTCGACACCACAACGGCACAAGATCCTTCCGAGTTCTGCCAACGCTTGCCCGAAATGCACCAGAAGAGTCTGACTCTTTCGGACAAGTTTGGTTTCAGCGTCACGACATGTGATGGCGATCGTCCGCATGTTGTAGAATGGGAGTCGGACTGGGCTGTGTTCTATCGGAAACTTTTCCTTCACACGCTTAGCTTGGACATCAAGAAGAATGGCACTTGGTCCAGGTATGAGCGTGCGGCACACCAGGTAGCTGAGTATGTGATCCCGCGACTACTGGAAAAACTCACATGAAAAGGTCCCAGTCTGATTCATGGCGACATGTGGGAGGGTAACACAAGTATCAATAAAGACACAAACCTACCGATGTTGTTCGATGCCGGGTCGTATTTTGCCCACAGCGAGGTGGAGTTGGGGCACTGGGCTTGCGAGTTCTCGGCAATCTTTTGAAGCAAAATGTAAACGGACCGGTACCTTGAATTCTTTCCCAAGGCAGAGCCCGCCGAAGATTTTGAGGATTGAAATCAACTTTACAGCCCGAAAGGGGGTATGAACTACTCCGCTGGCCATCAAGGCAGCCGACCGAGAACTTCGTGAGTACTGTCGCCGGTATCAATCATATAAGGGGTCTTGGAAGATTTGCTGACGAATTGCAGGGCCTACAATGCATGCTTTACCTCTGCGAGAAATATGCCCCAATCGACGGCATTGGTAATTACGATAAGTCCATTGATCCGATAGAGACAGGAGCGAGGATTGTATCCCATAAATAGATTAGATGAGTTGATGCATGACTTCTTATGTCCCTCATAAGTTTCGGGCATTTAGTATTGCAAAAGGCGCTTTCCACTATTCGAGTTCAATACTAGATGTAGTTTACAGGAATTGATCAAATGACTGCACTTGATCGTGATTGAAAGATTCTGAGGTATCAAGCTCTTGATTTTATTCAAATTCCTTGTGTATATGTGCTCAGAATACTCTCCCAGTCCTTATCACTCCATATCTGTTGATCCGCGCCTACGTCCGAAAACATGAAATCCGAGAAAGACAGACCAGTCTCCATTTCAACATTGCGATCAGTCTCCTCGACACTTGATTGCCGTGGTATTGTCTCTTCCTCTCGCCAGATTCTCTTCACCATTGCCTCAACGTCAGAGAGCAAAACATCGTGATCTTTGGCCGCGGGGTTGCCGACGCGAGCCATTTCTCTGAGCAGTGCTCGCGTTCGTGTGTAGAGTGCCATATCGTCTTCGCTGTTTGGGTTGAAATCTTTACCTTCCTCGATGGAGACTCGGGCGAGTGCCAGGATTGCAAGACCGGAGAATAAGTGTAGAGACTCCCAGTATCCGAATTTCGCTAGGCAGACAACCATTAGCTCCTTCCTTCTAACTCAGGGGCATCACAACGATGCAAGTGCTTACCAATCTTATCGTAATTCCAGAGCCCGAGTAGGATCTTGCAATTATTCCGTGCGGCTTGAAGACACTGTATCTTGACGGCTCTCATCGGATCAGTGGTGTCTAGTGGTGTGTCGAATCCAGTGAAACCCGGCGGGTTGTTCAATCGCCGCTTTTGAACGATCGAGGAAAGCCTTTGCAGGTAGAGCGGCCTTAACAATAAGATGAAGCACTGGAACGTAGTTAGAGGACGAGTCGACGATGTATTCAGGAACAAATGGAACACAAGCTCACCTGGTGATACCGCATATAGGTGGATGCAAGAATTCTGCCATGAGGTGCTTCCATCAATCTTGTAGGCAGGCTCTCCTCAAACGTGAAAGCTACTTGTTGCGGTAGACTTGTTCTCCACTCTTTCAAAGTATCGAGACATGGCTTGATAATCTCCAGTCGACGCTCGTCATCAACATCAACGTGCTGAGCCGCCGTTCTTACGACATTGCGCTTGATCTCGCAGAGCTGAGTTTGCATGGTCAAAAGCCCCGGATCAGAAAACTCCTCGAGGTCTTCAGCGTCTAGTCCAGCTGACGACGGAAGTTGCATGCCTTCTGGCACACAGGCCACGGCGGCAGCGACACCAAGCTCGGTTGATATCATTCTATCCATGCAGTAGGATGTCCACCAAAGCCTCTTTCTGTGCTCGTTCATGACGCGTACTTGGCGCTGCTGGTCCGGTGCCTTGGGCAGAGGATGTGGTTTGTGAAGATGCAAGAGCTTGGCGAGTGCAACACTTTGGCTGGCGTACGAGTAAGCTGTTTTCCGTCGGTTGAGTGAGTAGCAGTAAAACGCCTAGACGTGTGGTCAGTAGATTAAGATAGACTGATAGGCTTTTGTGCTCACAATCAAGCAAAGTGCCTCTACATCTTCTGGCACAGGCTCTTCCGCGGACATCTTTAGAAGCATTAACCCTTGCTCAAAGAATTCGGAGCCGGGAGGTGGCGGCAGTGTTTGTGACGTTGACTGAGAATGCGGAGATAAAGCCAAAGGAACAACAGCGCCTTTTTGAGGTGGACTAGTCGGATGCTTCCCCGCAATTTCCATGTGTACAGCTGAGGACATTCGAGAGCGGTTCCAACTCTCAGCGAGTGCGAGAACAACCGAGACCCTGCACAACCAGTTGCGATCATGGGATTGCGACTGCGGGTCCGAGTAGGTCAAGAGGATTCTTTCTCGGAACCTTTTGCGGAGGAACCAGTGATATTCACTGAAGCCTTCATCAAAGGCCTGAAGTAGGTGGAATGCATATGGTCGGGGCGGAAGTCGAAATGAGACTTCAGATTCTGTGCGTCGCATCAGCAAACGTCTTGGTTGTTGTGAGCAATCGACTTACGTAGAAAATCGAACTTCAGCCGAGAATATGTGTAGCTCTCGGCACTTGCGCCGGTAGACTCCTTAGTCTGCTTGTTGTTTGGATCACCGGATGTTGCTGTCCACGAGAGTTGTCGGAGCCTCTTCACGAAGAACTCTGCACTGCAGTCTTCCAGTTCCTCTTCCTTGATTGTTTGACTAGACTTGGGCGAGAGCGGTGTTGCAAAATCATTTGAATCCGTACGGACCGACTCTGGCGATGAGATTGTGTCCCCCGATCGTTGCGCCACTGCTGGCTGTCTTTCGAGTCTCCGCAAATAACTTTGAGGGACTGTAATGTATTTCTCTCTTACGGGGTAAACGCAGGGCCTGCCTCGAGTTTGACATCGCTCACATGGTGCTCCTTATGGGCGTCTCAATTAGCACAAAGAAGAAGTTCACAACTGATTACAGCAACGTACCGCCATTGCACTTGAGCTTTTGTGTATGACAGGCCTTGCAGGCTACTGCGCTTCGACCTCTTGGCGTTCTAGTCATCATCACAATTATTCTCACGATATCTCAATTATTCTAATAAATTGCAACGGTAAAGGGACAGTGGTGCTCCATAAAGAACTGGACTCGATTCAAAGAACTTGTCGGATCGACATGCTCCTTTGCCTAATGTCGTTTGCCGGCGGTATCGGAGGTGGGAAGGTCCAAGACGATGGGCAATACGGGGTAAAGAGGAGGGACCCACGTCGACCACGCGGACTGATATCGACGGTGCGGGGATTATTACTGATAACGAACATCCTCCAACCCGTTTAAGTAGTTGAAAGTACTGCGGTATGTTTGCTGGGTCGTACAGAATGATAGCGGCGGGGCGGCATGTATCGGCCCCTGCTAGTCATGTGTAATGGTGTAGTACTGGGATGTGTCAACTTGCGAATTGCTATTGGCGTTGGCTGCCAGGATCAGGCTCTATTGGATGTTGGCAAGTGTTCGAAGCTAGACTAAGAATCCTGCCTTGACAAAGGGATTAAGGAGGACTGCACCACATTCAGATACTTTATTTCCGAGAAAACACAAGCAAGTGTCAAGAGCTTCGCTTGGATAAGCCATCCCCATCCTATCATATATGCATGTTTCATTAAGAATTGGTATCAAACCAGATATTAGTCTAGAGGCGACTCCATGTCCAAGGAAGTTTGCCATCGCCAGCCGCATTTCGGCTTTTCCAACCTGTTAAGTCTGAGATATCGCGGAGTGGCCACGGGTGAGGATCTTGGAAATCATTGGGGACCTTTCCAAATTTCCAAGCCCACAGATCTTGCCATTCCTTGCCCAATTTCCCCTCGAGCATGTCGGCGACGTACTTACCGATGATTGGAAGGAACTTGAACCCGTGATTTGATCCAATGGTCGCGACGAACAAGTTCTGAGTTTCGGGGTAAGGGCAGATTCTGAAGTTGAGGTCACCGGCTAGACCGTCCCTGGAATCCGAGTCAGCATGGAGGATTCTGAAGAAATGGTAAAGTCAACAACATCTTTAGGTTGATGTCTCAACACGTACCAGCACATTTTGGAAGAGATGAACGGCCGGTCAGCCAGTTCTGGGACCATCTCTCTAACAAACGTACGCATTTCATCTTCGACTTCCTTAGGGCATCCATCGTCTGGATAATCGCCTAGAGAGTGAAGGATGGAAGCCCCTGGAACGTATCTGTTGCGATAATTTGTGAGACATCTGCAACTGCATAGCTTGATTAAGCCATTCTCATCTGGTGGAAAGATGATGCCTAGATATCTCGGTCAGTTCGAATGCACCATGTCACTCTTCCAAGATCATTTGCCTACGTACCCTGCTCGAAGTCATCGATGATTGGCATATCCTTGTACTTTTCGATCTCGTGCGGCTCCAGCTTCATCACACAGATGACTGATGTTTGTGCTACCACTTCTCTCTTTGCGTCAACTAGAGTCGCGGTATTGGCACCAGTGGACAACAAAACTATGTCCGCCACGTGCAGTGTCCCGTCTGCGGCCAAGACACCCTCGCACTTCCCGTTGCCGTCTAACACGAGCTTCTTGGCATACCCGGATTCTCCACAGATGTATTTGACCCCCTGTGACTTGGCGGCGTTTGCCATTCTTAACAGAGCTTGTCCGGACGGCACCTATTTTTCCGATCGTGGTCAGTTTGCTATCACTTCCATTGCTACGTTATCGTCCTGTAAGTGATATTGTTTGGCACAATGGAAACTTACCCAGCCAGCCGCAGGACTCCACAAGTTGGTCCAGTCCGGAAACTCCCCCGTCAGAGCGGGCCACCTCGTTCTCATCTCCCCGGCCGACATGAACCGCACTCCCTCGCGCCCCGCCTTCTTGGCTGTCTCCATCGCACTATTGAGCCATCCCCGCGTCAGGCCGTGGCCCGCCATGACCCAGCCGCTCTCGCGATACATCCCTGCGAAGATGGATTTGGGGTCCTTCCACTCCTGCATGCTCTCCATGCCTAGCTTCGCGTATAACGGGTTGGGGTAGTCGGCGCGTACGACCTTGTTCAGATCAGTGGCCGCAGAGTCTTTGGAGGGTGCGTCGAAGCGATCAAGCACCGTGACGTTTCCATAGCCTCTTTGTGAGAGGTGGTAGGCTGTGGAGGTCCCAAAGACGCCTCCGCCTACGATGAGGATGGATGGC